GGCGTCTTAAGAAAGACCTGTGCGACCTCTCAAAGAAGACGTGGGAGTGCATCTGTTCCTGCGTACAGTATGTCCGTTTTTGAAGTGGGTGGCCCCACACACGCATGTACAGCATACAGACATGTTTACACGCCTGCATGTCTGTGCATCTGATTGTGTGGGTGTGCAGGCATGTTTCTGTGCCTGGGTCTGCATGCATTCGTGTGCCTGTAGATACTCTAGTCTGCGTTTCCGTATAGTGTGTCTCTTTCTGTGTGTTCCTACTGTAGTATGTAGGTCACCAATATATTCCTGATGAGGTCTAGTTCTCTGGAGAACTCGACAGATATGAGGGCCTAAATTAGACACTATTATCTGCGTATCTGTGTGAGTGTGTGTGTGTGAGAGAGAGAGAGCGAGAGCAAACTAGAAACTATTATCAGACAAGGGCCTCACAGGCATGCATGTTCAAATTGGTGCAGACGCTTTTACATGCAAAGAACAGTATCATGAGTGTGTTTGTCTGTCTGTGCGTAGGTGTTAAATTGCATGCTTTTTTCAACATGATGTATTCGTGTAAGTGTGTGTGAAAATGACACACTGGTATAATCTAACAAGCTGCCTGTTACCACTGACCTGGGATTGTAAACCTCAACCCTCACTTTTAACGACTGTTGGCTCAGAAAGCCTGTCCATATTGCTATTACCGAGCCAAACTGCTAATAAGCCTCAAGCACCACTCCAAGAAAACTAGGTGGCCATTGGCAAAGCTCTGGGTTAAGGTGATACAAAAACGCAGAAATCACATACCATCCATGAGGGTTGAGAAGGATGCTTTCAGAATGTGTATTAAAAAAATGTTGTAGCTTGAAATAGGTCAGGGCAGCTGAATGTTTCAACAGACTTGTTTTTTGACTGTGTCAGTCAAATACAAAGATTCCATGCTTCTACTTTGATTAAGCACTGTTGCATGGCTATCAATAAAGAACCATGGGGAAATGATAATGAGGTTTCTTTTAGGCATACAGAATTACATATCTTCTGCCACTTCCTCAATAAAAAAGTGACTTTTAGCATAGCTGTTGAAACATTAATTCCCCTTCATTTCAGGATGTCTACATTTCCAGCCAGCCTACTGTCCTCAAGTCACAGGGACAATACCACATGCAGTCAATCTGTCAAACCAATTCGGGAATTTTGCCGGCGCTCAGCCCAAAAGTTACATTGAATCTGAGGGGGATGAATGGGAGTGAGAATGTCTACCTTTGAAAAGCTTCATGCTTTGACCAAATCATATGCTGTCACTCCTAAGCTTTAGAAGGCCTGCACTTTTCATCAAAGCTCTTGATGGCTACCTTTCACAGTACTGTCGAATACACCCTCAAAAGCCTCCCTCCCTCTTTTCCTCCCTTCCGCTCCCAAATATCTTTCTTCTCCCCTCCGATGTCGACTACCCCTCTTCCTTGCCCCCCCCCCTTCCCTCAATCCTTCTATTCCCCTTGTCCTTAATCCCTCCATCCCTCCCTCCTCGATAAAACCCTCAAATCCCTCCAGGGTTTTTCTCTCTCCCTGTGCATGTGACTTCAGTACTGTCAAGGCAGATAAAACCAGAGGAATTCAGAATCATCACAGTCATAACCTGCCGTGCTAATAATCCACTACTATCCTTCCCATGTGGCGGTAGGCTGGTGTAACAAGGCCTTTACTGGATTTATTTGCATATTTGTTTCCCCTTTGTTTCTTTTGATGAATTATTTACTGCAGAGTGAAATGACAGCAGAGATCACTGGTGATTGCTGTCGCGGGTGGATGGGTGCCTTTCTCCTCTTTGTAATTATTCCCTTTTTTCCTGATTTTCAATCAAGTTTTTCCACTCATGTTCCCCGGTGACAACAGAGGAGAAGCCGTGAAAAAGGAAAAAAACCCACATACATTTTAGCATTTCTAGTGGAACCTTTCCACTGTCTAGCGGGAGAGCAGCTTCCTTTGTTGTTGTAATGATTACAGAGTAGGAAACAGCAGGGGGGAAAGGAGAGAAGGGAGAGAGTAGACATCAAATGGAAAAAAGCACAAATGTGCTGGGAGGGCCACCTCACAAACCCACCACACACAGGACAAAAAACCTCACACACTCATCATCTGACCAATCAGGAGACTTGATTAGCATATGATAAGCTGAAAGTAATAATTTAAGGTTGCAGTTTGTGTTCCTACTGTTTCAAGTTTGAAAACAAAGTCAAATGAGCCTCCAGGAGCTTAAGGTTTGGGCACACAAAACATGTCTTGAGAGATGTAAGCACAGCGAGTTGTGTCCACATAGAAGCTGTGATTGTAAGCCTCACAATCTGACATTGTGTAGCAGGGATCTACATGTGCACACCGTCACACACACACTGCCACTCTGTCCCCGCATTGCCCTATCCAGGAATAATAATGCATAATTCATATCCCAAAGTCTCATCTGGAGACAAAAGTCATCGTTTGCATTTATTATTTATTGAAAACAGCTCTCGCATGATGAGTCCTTTAACAAACAGAGCTTCCAGTAAGCAGTGTACCTCTTTTTCTTTTTCTCTTGCTGTTTGTGTTTTGGCATAGATTTAAGTGGGCTCATTAGCAGAGGATGAGGATGCAAGGAGAGGAGAGGAAAGGCAGGCGAGGGAGAAAGAGAGATGCAGAGAGTTAGAAAGTGGGAGATAGAGAAGAAATGAGGCCAAAGGATAAAGAAATCACTTTTGTAAAGGTGTGAATTAATGAGAGGCGTGTACATCTCAAGCTAATTCAATTATCTAAGAAATGCTTGAGGGAGTCAGTTGTACATTTTATAACTTTGTGTCATTTATAGAGTTAAAGTTTACTTTTGCTACCCAGTGGGTGTTTGAAATTACTTAACTGCTTTGCAAAACTTGGAAGTGCTAATACATACTAATCTAATCTTTGCTTTATCATTGCTCCAAACCTCCTAACAATTCTGTAGAATTAGTACAAGTGACTTTACTAGTACACAAACAGAAACACATACGAACACTGTCACAGTTACACTTGCTGTGCGGACAGTTTGCCTTGAGGCAGGGAGGCAATTTATTGTAGAGTGAAAAGAGCTATGCTAATGCAGTCATCATTTATTCCAGAGTACTTGCATTTTTATTTTCTACTACCCCACCCCTTCACCATCCATCAATCATCCTAGCCATGAGGTATTATCTTTGTGGAACATTCTATATTCAGTCTCCCCTTAGATGGCTGGACGCACACTCATACACACGCAAAGTCATTTTTGTTAAATCAAAAAAATCAAATCTGGTCTAGCAAAGGTTGAATAATTGATGTGTTATGTTAAAAAAGGAATGAAATAATCATACCCTGTTGGATGTTGGAGGAACATCAAACCCAGAGTTGGAGCTTGGCAGACTGGGCTAAGCAGGGTAGGGGCCGTATGTATTTGGGACGGCTGCCCTGTGAAATAATAATGAATAGCAAAGAGTTAGAGGATTAGGAGATTTTTGTTCTGCCCTGTACCTGACACTTTGTGCGTGCCCACCCGTGCTTTATACAGCATGACCAGGGCATCCTGAGCTAATACAGCAAGGTTTTCTGAAAATGGTTTTGTCTGATGGCCTGGGGAAACATTCCAGCAGGTCTGCAGAAATAGATAAATGGCTGCAGTAAAAATGGACACATGGTTCACAACAAAAGTGCTGATCTAATGGATAGATATTGGTGCCATTCCACATGCAATGCAGCTCAGGGGTTCAGCTAAGGCTTAGCACAGATAGTAAGTGCAATGCAATGATGACAGTCAAATGAAATGAAATTAACATAAAGATGTACATTTAATCCTTGTGAAACATTTTTTTACTTAGCATTCACCAGAGTTGAAAAACAAAATGTTTTTACTTATTATCTGCTGACAAAAAAAACTAAAATCACCCACGACTACAGACTATATATGCATAGTGTCCAGTTCTGAACAAACCAACGTGACTTGGCAGATGGCTTGTAAAAACACTATCAACACTTTCAGGCTTTACTGTGCTATAAGCTTGTGATGGTGATGAAATGAAATAATATCCGCTTGTTGGCTACTGCAGACCACCACCCTGTTTTAATGCCAGCCATGAATAAATACGTACAATTCTTAGATGCACGCTCACGCTCACACACACACGCACAAACCTCTATGCATCATTGCTTCAAATGAAGATAAACAGTTTTAATGTTTAGGACCACCTTTTAAGATTGTCCCCATTTGGGATGCAACAACAGTGCATGATGAATACATTCATTCCAAGCTCCAGTGAGAGCTGTGCAGCCGTGCATCTCTGCCCGATACCTTTTCATGACTGTATGAAGGCTGCACAGTATAGATTTTCCCATACAGCAGCAGAGGGATATAAATGTTTATTATTATTACTCTTTCAGCTTCCCATTCGCCATCTGCGTTTTTTTTTGCCCACCAGTTCCAATTTGCGTTTAACGAATGATCTCAGGGAATGAGATGCAGTGAGGTCAGGAGGTTCATGTGCATTTCTTTCACTGCAGGGGTTTGAATTAGGATTGTATAGATACTTAGGAATACTGTACATACAAATAAAGGACACAGCGTGACCAACATGATGATTTGCTTGAAAGAGGGCGAGGAGGCATGGTGATAGACAAAAAAGAAGAAAAGGCTGATTTGGAGTCAAAGTAGAGAAGCTTATTGAGAGTTATGACCCCATATAAGCCCTCAGTGTGTGGGGGGGGGAAACAAGACAAATTGTGAAATACATTGTCCGATTCAGACAAAGATAACATGTTATATGGGTTATCGTGAATCAAGCTTTACAACATTCAGAGCACATGTGTAAACCTTTAGATGGGTTAGCACACTTGCAAGTGGTGGCAAATTGTCGCTTGTCCCTCCTTTTAAGTTTATCCATTAAAACTCTCCCATCCGTTTCTGAGGCCTCTGACTTGAAATGGTGTTTAACTCAGGGGGGGGGGCTTATTTTATTAATTCACTGTTTCCTCTGTTACAGGCCCCCTTCTACAAAGTCCACATTGCGAGAAGACCACCTCACAGGAATTTTCCCCTTCACCAGGTAACCACAAAGAAAGAAAAGCAGCACATTATCCACATGTACAATATACCCCTCAACACACACACACACACACACACACACACACACACACACACACACACACACACACACACAA